TCTTTAATTTCTTTCAGTAGTGGTTTGTAGTTCTCATTGTAGAGATCTTTCACATCCCTGGTTAAGTTGATTCCTAGGTGTTTTATTTTGTGTGTGTGACTGTTGTAGACGGGCTTACTTTCTTGATTTCTCTTTCTGTTAGTTCATTATTGGAAAATATAAATGCAACTTATTTGGGGGCATTTATTTTGTGTTCTGCAACATAACCAAAATTATTAACCAGCTCTAGGAGATTTTTTATAGAGTTTTAGGCTTTTCTATATATAGTATCATGTCATCTGCAGATAGGGACAGTTTGACTTCCACTTTTCCAGTATGGATGCCCTTTATTTAATTCTCTTGCCAGATTTCTCTGGCTAGTACCTCCAGTACTATGGTAAATAGAAGTGGTGAGAGTGGGCATCCTTGTCTTGGTCCTGTTCTTAAAGGAAAAGCCTTCAGTTTTTCCCTATTCAGAATGATACTGGTGGTGGGCTTGTCATAGATGGCTTTTATTGTGTTGAGATTCTTTCCTTCTGTACCTAATTTGTTGGGAGTCTTTATCATGAAGGGATTTTGAATTTCGTCAAATGCTTTTTCAGCATCTATTGAGATAATTATACGGTTTTTGTCCTTGAGTTTGTTGATGTGGTGTATCACATTTATTGACTTATTTGTTGAACCGTCCTTGCATCCCTGGTATGGATCCTACTTGATCACGGTGTACCTGTATCTGTTTTCTATTGATGTGTAACAAATTACCACACACTTAGCAGTCTAAAACAACATACACTTATTACCTCACAATTTCCATGGGTTCGGAGTCTGGTCACAAGTTGACTGGGTCCTCTGCTCAGGGTCTCACAAGGATTTAATCTAGGTGTTGACTGGATTACACACCTTTCTGGAGCTGAGGTTTCTCTTCTGCATTCATATGGTTATTGGTACAATTCAGTTACTTGTGGTTGTAGCACTGAGTTCGCTGCATTTTTGCTGGCTTTCAGCCAATGTTGCTCTAAGTTCCTGGAAGCTTCTGCATTTCCCTACAAGGTGTCACTCATACACCCTCTCAAAGCACAAAAGCTGAATTCTCCAAAGGCAACAGGCATTATCTCTCTCTTCTGGAAAGGCCCAGCCTCCTCTTAAGAACTTGTATCTGATTAGGTCAGGGCCACTTGGGAAAATCTATCTTGATTAACTCAAAATCAACTGACTGGGGACCATTCTTTTGTTTTCAAAATTCTTTGATCTTGCTATATAATATAACCTAATCATGTGAGTGATTATTGGGTCTCACAATCAGCTTAGCATAAGCACAGCCATATTGACAACCCCCTCACCCTCTCCCCCTACCCTCTCCCTTTCCCTTGGGACCAGTGCGTTCCCATAAGAACATCTTGCATGAAACAGGAAAACTACGAAGCTATTATGGAATGCTGAGTGCTCAGAATAGTTGCCCAACCTGCCCCCGCAGACAAACCCTATAAAGCCTCTGCTAGTCAGTATGTGAGCAGAACCCTGATCTTTCAGTTTCTCCTCCAGGTTCGTTGGAGTAAACTCCCTTGCTTGACAATGTTTGGCTCGGAGTCTTTTATTCTGTTTGTCTCGCCAACCTAACAGTGATATCCCATCATATTCACAGGTCCTACTCACAGTCAAGGCTAAGGAATTACATATGCCTTGTACACTGGAATCTTGGGGGCTGTTATAGAATTCTGTCTACCACAATTCCTAACAAAATTAGTAACAACTTCTTAAAATCTTCTAATATACCATCAGTGTTCAAAACAACTTTCCTTCCCCTTTCATTTGATTTCTTGGAATCAGAATCAGAACAAAGAGCGTAATTGCATTTGGTTAACATGTCTTGAGTCTTTTTTAGTACATACACCATTTTTCCTTCCTTTTATTTTTTCTTTGCCATTTATTTGTCAGAAGGAAAAAAAATGGGTCATGATTAGGTATAATTTCTCATATTCTGGATTTTTCTTTTTATATCTCAGTGATGTCATTTAACATATTTCTCTATTTTATGAAGCTCATTTAAAATCTAAATATATGGTAGATGCTTAGAAACCTGCCTGGCCCACAACTGTGGCTATATGTATTTGTTGTTATCATTGCGTAAAGCTTCCAAGAGATCAATTGATACAAAGTGTTGCTCAATAAATGGTTTTCTCCATCCTCATCCCCATATTTCTTCTTAATATAGAAGATGGCACTTAAAGCTGAGTTAACTACAATAACTTGTTTGAGCAATTAGTGTCCTTGTCTTGCATCTTTTGGTATTTTACCACATTACCCTGATCATTTCAAGTATTTTTATTGTGTTTTGCAGCTCTGCAGTGATACTTCATTGACCAGTCTAGCAATATGTACATAACAAAATTGTTTATTCCAAATGACACCTTCTTTCTAATAGTTAATAAATAACCCCTTTCAGAACATAAATTGAAAAGTAGATTGAACGTCATCTTATGCATTTTAGCACACAAATGTGTATTTGTACAGCTAAAATTAGAATCCTGTTACCCTGAGTATTTTCAAATATTTTTGTTAAATTATAATATTTCAGCATTGCGAACACTTTCCCTGATATAGAGTTTATTAATGTGTCAAGTATATATACGAAGTTTTATATATTTAAATTTTGTCCATAGTAGCCTTCTTCAAGTCATATGTGCTGATGTTATTTTATTTATTTATTTATTTTGCATTTTAGCTGGACATATAATTCAATTTTCTAAATTCAAGTTTTATAAAATTTTAGGCTTGTAGTTGACTGCAATATTAGCAATGAAAAATATGACATGCTCTAACTTATGAATATTTAATTCAATCAGGTATGAAGTAGTAATCATTCCTTGGACCTGCTTTGATTGCAATCTTTGACAATCAACAATTAGGCATTTATAACATACAAAGTGCTATACTAGAGGAGATTCAAAGGTGAGTATGAGATTCCCACCTCAAGAACCTTCCAGTCAGGAAATAGAGATGGAGTTGCTCACAAATGACTGGGACATAGACAATTGTCCTTTGCTAAGTGATATCTAAATGCTGTGAGCCTTAGAGGTGGCAGAAATTATGACTGACTAGAAGCTTCCTTTTGGGGGAAGAAACACAATTGTATCTTAAAAGATAAGTATAATTTAGAGGGTGAAGAAGGAAGAGAAAGCTATTGGAGGGTAAGAGAACAGTGTGAGTGAAATGCACAGAAGATAAAAGATTTCATTGTGTTAAGGTAATAGTAATCTCCCAGAAATGAAGTACAGGCTGCAAGGACAACCTAAATATTAATAAAATAAAATAATTAGAACAGAGAGTAGTGGGATTTCGACAATAGGCTTTTACTTTTTTAGTTAGTAATTGGCTATTAAAAGATTATAATTTGCTTCCTCTAATTATGGGGGTCAGAATTCACAAGCTTTGTTATTCCCCACCCCATCTCCCAAAACCCTGCCTGGACTCCAGGAAATATACAGGTTAGTGAATTAATCTCGTTTTTGTTCTGCTCATAGAGCTGCTTCTTAATCACAAAAAAATGAGTTGGGAAAATGTATTTTGCAGGTAATCGCATTTGATAGTATTCACACTTTTACTATTGGCTCTAAAGTTTAGTTATTTTTTTCCCCTACATTTTTTCTTCAGGAAGTAATTTTGTGTGCCCAAACAGCTGACTGTCAAACCAAGGAAAATGTTACTGGTTCTCAACTTCTTTTAAAACTTGGAAAGAGAGTCAACATGATTGTACACAGCTACAGGTGCATTTTCCGGTGATTCTAAATTTGAGTGAGCTGGTGAGGAATCAAAAACAGGATCTGAGTGCCCAAGGAAGAATGGCTAGGCACAAGTTTGCTTCCCAAGAAGCATGGGTGGTTGGTTTATCGTCATTGCTTTTGAATATGTGTTAGCCATAACATTGTCGCTATTGTTTATAACAAAATCTATTTATGAAAAAAAGATTATATACTATTTCACTAATGCCTGGCACAGTGCCTTGCTCTTTAGAAGGTGTCAACTTTTATTTGAATAAATGAATAAATAAGTACANCTTCCACAATTGCAAGTAGTTATTTGGTGGGGAAGGGTGGTGATGGTGATGTTTATCTATAGAAAGAGATATTTAATTAAGCATCCTGGCTTTCCAGTCTTTTTCATTTTTCCTCCTTATTTTTATATTTTTCTCTTTTTTGTATCTCTTTCTTTTCTTCTTCCCTTTTCCCTCCCTTTCTTCTTTGCTTCTTCTCTTTCTTTTCTTAAAATTCACTATTTTCAGAAACGGTGATAGAAAGTGCTCATTATGGCACCTGGCAATTGTCACTTGTCAAAAATGAGAATTCCTCAAAAATTCTTAAGCTGATTTAAATCTCATTTGAAATAATCTTTGAATAATTTCCTTAAGGTGAATGCAAAGATAATTTTTACCTACAGATAAAGGCAACTGGAATATACAGAAAGGTCTCTTAAGTTGATATCAGAAAACATGATTTTGAAATTTTTCCCTTATAAAATTCACTGGAGCTTGTTGATATCAATTTCTTCATCTGTGTAAAGGAGCAATGATACTTTCCTCACGACGTTCCTGTGTGAACAACGTAAGGTAATGCTTTAAAGCTCTGAAGCACCATCTGGTGCTTGTTACACTACCAGAGCACGTGACACGCGGCACGTTCGGACACAGGGTCGTGCAGTGATAGTTCGGTTCAGTTTGGTTACTTACCTGTTCTCCATTCACTATCGTCTTTCATGAACATAGGATAAAGTATGAAGAAGGAATCATTCCTTGGACCTGCTTTGTTTGCAATCTTTGGCAAACAGTTAGATTTTTATTATTTTTGATTTTTTGGAAACCAACATTATTGTTGGAGCAATACATCTCTTTTAAAAAGCTTTCATTTTGTCGTTTAAGTAAAATGATATGCATGCAGATGGCTATAATAGGGTTTGCCTCTTATTTTTTAAATAATAATTAGTAACTAGAAAGTTAAGGGAAGTTAAGGAAATAGCTCTCTCCAAAAATATCCCATTCACACATCCTGNACGTGACACGCGGCACGTTCGGACACAGGGTCGTGCAGTGATAGTTCGGTTCAGTTTGGTTGCTTACCTGTTCTCCATTCACTGTCGTCTTTCATGAACATAGGATAAAGTATGAAGAAGGAATCATTCCTTGGACCTGCTTTGTTTGCAATCTTTGGCAAACAGTTAGTTAGAAATACTTACGATTTTTATTATTTTTGATTTTTTGGAAACCAACATTATTGTTGGAGCAATACATCTCTTTTAAAAAGCTTTCATTTTGTCGTTTAAGTAAAATGATATGCATGCAGATGACTATAATACTGTTTACCTCTTATTTTTTAAATAATAGTTAGTAACAAGAAAGTTAAGGGAAGTTAAGGAAATAGCTCTCTCCAAAAATATCCCATTCACACATCCTGCATTGTCTTAATCCTATCATACCATTGAAGTTAAATGAGGAATTTATGAGTCCTATAACAGTTTTTGCACTGTCTTAAAAAAAATCCTAGATGACTGCCTCCTAACTCACATTGGTTATGTACTACTTTGCAGTTTTAATTGAAAACTTCCCTTTTAACATCCAATTACTTTGTAAAGAAAATTATTTATGCTGCTATGGGGAAAATGAGTAGATGGGAAGCAAAATTGAACTATTGAAGGTCAGTTAGAAGGCTACGGCCAGAGATAAGAGAGAGATGATGGTAGCCTGGCCCTGGATGGAAAAGCTGGGGGGAGACAATGGACGTAAGGAATAAACTGGAGATAGAACACAAGGACCAGCTAATGTATGTAGTGCGAAGTTTGCGAGGTAACGAAGAGGCTGGGATGCCTCGTGGTCTAACTTGAGCTCGAATGGCACTGTTACTAAGATGAAAGGTGACACATCCCAGGAGGAGGCTGTGAGGAGCAAGCAAATAGCAGCACAGGAAGGGTCCATTCTGCTGAAGAATTGCCTATAAAAGTTTAGTTGGAGGAAATTTTGAAAGATACTGTCATTATTTTAAGATAAATGCTCAAAAGTCTATCCTTTATCACCTAGGATTTCGGTGATTG